TAGGTTTACGGCCGACACGGCCAATCTTTCCGGAGCGCATCGGTTTTGTGCGTTTGAAGTCCTTCCAAAGTTTGGCCACAGTGTTGCGGTTTATTCCCATGGCGACAGCAGTCAAGTTGATGGCCCCACGGGAAAGCTTGCCCAAGTTGATGTATTGTTGGAGTCGTTTAACTACGTCCATCTTTCTCTCATGCGTGAGTTCTCGGCTGGTGTGCGCAGTGTCCATGTCGGAGATGATGTCAGGTCCCGTAGTTTTGAAAACAATAATGAGATTTTTTTATTTTTGTGGAAGCGGGTATGGCATAATGTTTTTTCGGTGGCTTGTGTTCATTTTCGCCGTGTCCAGTCAATAGATACTTCTCGTATCTTTTCATTCTCTGTCGAACACGATATGGCTCATTAAATTTGGATAAGAAATAAAGTTTTGGGGTCGTGTCAAAGCGAAATGCCACCGGTAATGTGAAACAGAGGAAGTATCGAGTTTCCTTTGTTCTTTTGTTTTCCTTTACAATTTATTTTTTGGTGAGGGAGCAAACGTTGAGGGAGCTCTGTACTTAAGAGCTTTTGGACCACGCAGCTTCAAGTTCTCGCTCAAGGCCTTGTTGTTCTTCATTTGGCGGCGGATCTCGGCGAGCCAGTTCGTGCGCAGTGCTGCATTCAACGGCCGAATCCATGCAACGACCGCCGGCTCAACACCAGGTGAACCGAGGAGGGACACGCTCAAGCAGCACATTGATAGATTCTGCGTAGGCGACGACCTCGTCTGTGAATTGAACGCTGAAGTTGTCCCACAGGAGGATGACCTTCTTCAACACTCGATCGGGTCGTTCCCCGAAATGGTACCTGAGGAACTCCAATGACATGTCGGCATTCCACGAGGCTGTTGGGTTCCCGTAGATCCGGCAGCCCAGCCGCTCATGCAATGGCTCAACGTCACGTCACACCCGTCGCCCAAAGCGGTTCCACCAGGTCAGGTTCTCCTCGACCATATCCTTGTACTTTGACTTGGTTGTCTTCAGAACCAGAAACAAAGGGAACTTGCGGCCAGTTGAGTCGGCAAGAAGCATTGCCGTCGCTCGCTCTTTCGTCTTCCCCCCGCACTTGACCCAAACGGTATTCTCCTTGGCCACGTTCAGTGTCTTTGTTGGAAGATACTGGTAGTTGATTGCGGTTTGGTCCGCGTTGTAGAGAATCACATCGACGTTGTTGGCCATGGCAGTGAGCAAGACGCGTTCGGAGAAGGCACTCAAAGTGTCGGTGCCGTCTTGGTTGGAGTCCTGGCCGATGGGCGTCTTTGAGCGAAAGGTGAGTCCGTGTCGTCGTCGAAACCCCTGAATCCAGTGCCAGCCACCTTTGAATTCATCTTCGGACAACCCCACATCAATGACCGTCTCCAATGCCATCATCTGTAGCATCTTGTAGGTGACAGGAATGCCATCCTTTTGCATGCCGAGAACCCAGCGAGCGAACTGCTCCTCCTCATGCATAGGCAAAGTCGTTCCAGTCCGGCGTTCGAGAAGAAATTTGTGTTGGGCAGTTCGTGGCGATACGGCCATGCGTTTGTTGAAATCCGTTTGTTTGATCCATCAATAGACTTTCTTGCGAGTTGTTTCACGTTGTGTGGAATATGCATTGGCACAGTACGAATCCAGAAACGCAGCCATGCCAACTTGAGCGACTTTATGGATTACATCGAGTTTATGCTGATAGTCAACTGTCTTGTACTTGAACAGGACCACGCGTGCTTTGCGTCCGTACGTGGAGACAGAGAGGCCTGATGGTTTGCGGTGAGTTGTGGCAGCTGGGGCGTCGTTGGTCATGGCAGGAGTGTCAGGAATGATGCGCGGGAATAAAATCGAAATAAACCTCCTAAAATTCGCCCTTTATAATTTATTGCTGGAAATATATGTATTGTAAGAGGTATTATACGCGTGAAGGGTTTCTTGTAAGCGTTAATACTTTTTTTCATTAGTTTATACGAGCGTCCGAACCTGGTATTGTAGGGGCCAATTGGGAGCGGGCACCAGCTATTCTGGGCGTAATATAAATATCATGGCGAGCCCGATTGGCTAGACCGAATCATTGGTGGAATAGCCCTTCTTGTCCTCAACATTTATTGTAGGGGCCAATTGGGATCGGGCATCACTCTCCATTGATTATCTCAGCCATTTGAGACTCAATTTTCGCATAAAAAGAATATAAAAAAACTACAAATCTCGTTTGAAAAGTGCTTCTGTGAACGCACTAAATTATCCGGTTGAGGTGC